GTGCCGATGTTGAAGAATGCGTAGATGGAGGCCGCCTCGGCATTGGAGAAGCAGTTCAGCTCCAGCCACATGGTGAGGTAGCTGAAGGCGAACCACGGCGCAGTTCCGAAAATGCCCTGGCCGATGATCACCAGGAAGGTGGGCAAGCAGATGATGGACCGGAGCTTGGGCACCTCCTCCTTCACGATCTGCCACATGCTCCGCTTCTCCTCCCTTGGCACATCTGTCACCAGCAGCAGCACGAGCACCCCCACCACACCGCTCACGGCGGCGATCACCGTGAGCGCGAACTGCCATCCGGCCATGGCCCCGACTGCCTTTGGGGGTGCAGAAAATACCGAACTGCAAGTTTCATTATGCTATTGGCTGTTGTAGCCACTGAACTCATAGGCCCTACACTGCCCTACACCATACAGCCGCTTCTTAAGGGGGCTCACTTGATATCCTGGAGAACCCTTTGCGCGCCGAGGCTCGTGGGGCGCCATGCTGGTGGCGAAGGCTGTGAAGGCCGTCTGGCCCAGCGCCCCCGTGGAGAGCAGAAAGCCGAAGGCTTTGCCGCGGAAGTACACCGAGCTCTTGTCCTGGGGGGGGCTTTTGGGGGGTTTGTAGGGGGCTGGGGCTGATGGTTTTTGTTTTGGGATTGGTGGTTTCTCTCGGGGTTTCGGGGATCATGTAACAAGGCAAGGCACTTCAATAGGTAAACAGAACATTTACCTCATGATCCGAGCGTCTGCCACCAAGCTGAAGAGGAGCGGCTGCACTATGCCCAAGCCTACGCCGTTGACGGCGCGGAAGGCCGTCATGGCTTGCAGGTCTGGGGCGAGGGCACAGCCTAGCAAGCCCAAAGCCCACACAACGCTGCCCACGCAGATGAGCAGCGGTCGGGGCAGGCGATCTGCCAGGAATCCCGCGGGCAACGCAAAGACGGACTCGAAAACACCGCGCACGAGGCCCAGATTGCCCAATCCTCCCGGCGTGGTCTGGTAGTGCCGCGCGATCTCGCCGTAGACTGCTGGCAGCGCCATGTTGTCCGTGTTCCACATGACCATGACCAGGAAGAGCACCAGCATCTGCAGGACCCAGTTCCACTGGGACTCTCTTTCTTGCACTGGAGCCTTCTCGCTGCAGTGGGCGCTTCCCTTCTCACTGCAAATGCTGCTCGTGCTCTTCGCCTTCATCTCGGTCGACATAATGCTTCGCGGTTTACGGTCCAACGTGTCTTGAGCCCAAAATCTTCGAAGACTGCCCCACTCAGAGCGCAGGGGTCTTGTCTGTCGAGCTCCCTAAGCCCTAAACCCCAAACCCTCCTCCGCATGCTCAACCTCCTGCGCCCCATCAGAGCAACCTGCGCAATTTGGGCACCACAAGAGCGACACAGAGCAAAACAAAAAAGGCGGCATAATTTATGTTCCGACGCAACTCGAGGTCGTCATTCCGGGCAGGACTCGGCACTTCTCCAGCAGCAGGTCCATCTGTACAAGAGTCACCTGTGCCGAGACTTGGAGGCTATAACCCCCAGACCGGCACAAGAGAAAGCCGCTCTGCGGCGACCTTTTTGAATTAAAACCCGACAGTTTGCGTGACCAAGGAGTTGCCTTCAAATGCGGAGTTTGCTGAAATAACCGGCGGATGGGTTCTCTGTAGAAACCGCGTCGCCTCATTTGGTTGATCTGGCACCCCATGGTGCCACGGACCAGGAGACAAGTCAAGGACACCTTTGATTCAAAAACATTCCCAAGAGATGCGAGGTTGAGAGCATTTTTGCAAGGCGTCTCGCCTTACTCAGCATTCGCTCTCAAGCCTCTCCTCCTGCTCCTTGCCCTCCTTCTCCCGTGTCTCCTGCAAGCGCCGGTCGCGGGGATAGGTGTAGTGCGCCACGCAGTAGAAGAGGAAGCAAATGCTGAAGCCGATCGCCGACACGGTGAAGACGCCCTTGCCCAACTTGCGAGCGTCTTCCGGAGAGCAGCTGTGGTTGTTGGCGGTCTCAGCGCTGAATCCGAAGACCTGGTCGGTGAGCCAACCCACCGCAGGCTGACCAAAGGCGCCGATGGTGCCCTCGACGCAACGGTCCAGGGCATAGATGTAGGTGTAGCGGGCGCGCGGCACCACGTCGCTGAACATCTTGTTGTTCATGACCATGTTCCAGGCGATCAAGGTGCCCGTGACCAGGAAGACCTTGTTTTGTGAGCAAGAGCAAAAAGGAACCCGACAATCGGGGCATCAGAGACTCTGTGCGCGCTACGCCTACTACGATCGACTCTCTGTCCATTTGTCGGGTACAAGGCGGACCACACAAAAGCGCGGGGGTCTCCTTGCGTGCCCAAGGGGCCCCGGAGTACAAGGCCAGCAGCCCGTCGGAATCGGCGTCGCCGGGGCCCAGGCCAAACAAGATCAAGGCGAAGAGGGGGATGGAGAGGAAGACCGACAGCTGGGAAATGGCAGGGGGGCCGTGATCCGGGAAGCGCCGGAAGATGAAGTCCAGCAAGACACCCCCCAGCATGCTGGAGAGGGCCGTGCCGATGTTGAAGAAGGCGTAGATGGAGGCCGCCTCGGCATTGGAGAAGCAGTTCAGCTCCAGCCACATGGTGAGGTAGCTGAAGGCGAACCACGGCGCAGTTCCGAAAATGCCCTGGCCGATGATCACCAGGAAGGTGGGCAAGCAGATGATGGACCGGAGCTTGGGCACCTCCTCCTTCACGATCTGCCACATGCTCCGCTTCTCCTCCCTTGGCACATCTGTCACCAGCAGCAGCACGAGCACCCCCACCACACCGCTCATGGCGGCGATCACCGTGAGCGCGAACTGCCATCCGGCCATGGCCCCGACCGCCTTTGGGGGGGCTGGGAGAGCGCGGTCACGATACACTTAGGCCCACAAGACCAATACAGCTCCTTCTTAGGGGTTCACTTTATCCCTGTAACTTGTTGGGGCTCGATTTTGCTTTGCGGCCGAGGCTCGTGGGGCGCCATGCTGGTGGCGAAGGCTGTGAATGCCGTCTGGCCCAGCGCCCCCGTGGAGAGCAGAAAGCCGAAGGCTTTGCCGCGGCCGTACACCGAGCTCTTGTCCTCGCTCCGGCTTTTGGGGGTCTACAGGAGGGCTTATGGAGGCTTATAGGGTTTTGTGGACTTCAACAAGGGAACGCCTACCTCGTGATCCGAGCGTCTGCCACCAAGCTGAAGAGGAGCGGCTGCACTATGCCCAAGCCGATGCCGTTGACGGCGCGGAAGGCCGTCATGGCTTGCAGGTCCGGGGCGAAAGCACAGCCCAGCAAGCCCAAAGCCCAAACAACGCTGCCCAGGCAGATGAGCAGGGGTCGGGGCAGGCGATCTGCCAGGAATCCCGCGGGCAACGCAAAGACCGACTCGAAGACTCCACGCACCAGGCCCAGATTGCCCAGTCCTCCCGGCGTGGTCTGGTAGTGCCGCGCGATCTCGCCGTAGACTGCTGGCAGCGCCATGTTGTCCGTGTTCCACATGACCATGACCAGGAAGAGCACCAGCATCTGAAGGACCCAGTTCCACTGGGACTCTCTTTCTTGCACTGGAGCCTTCTCGCTGCAGTGGACGCTTCCCTTCTCACTGCAGGTGCTGCTTGTGCTCATCGCCTTCATCTCGGTCGACATAATGCTTCGCGGTTTACGGTCCAACGTGTCTCGAGCCCAAAATCTTCGAAGACTGCCTGAACCGCACTCAGGGCGCGGGGGGCTTTGGGTTTAGCTCACCCAAGTCTGGAGGAGTTTGTCCCCTTTTTGCCAGGGTACTCTGAGTTGTGTTAATGTTGCTCAAACCCCGAAAACCACCGTAATACTCGATACTCTCATGAACTAAACCCTAAACAAGGTGCAAGATCCAGGATGCTCTGAACAAAAACTTCTTGTTGGAAGGGCTCGGAGGGTACTCCTGCTCAGCGCGCCAACCTCCTATGCCCCATCAGAGCAAACGCGCACATGGGAACCACCATAGCGACATGAGCAAGAGGGCGGCACAAGCACATGTTCCGATGCAACTTGAGGTCGGCATTCCGGGCTGGATGGGCTGGACACTGTACTGCTCCAGCAGGTCCATCTGTACAAGAATCACCTGTGCCGAGACTTGGAAGCTATAACCCCCAGACTGGCACAAGAGAAAGCCGCTCTGCGGCGACCGTTTGAATTAAAACCCGTGACAATGCCATGACTAAGGAGTCGCTTCAAATGCGATTTGCTAAAATAACCGGCGGATGGGTTCTCTGTGGAACCGTGTCGCCTCATCTGGCACCCCATGGTGCCACGGACCAAGAGACACGTCAAGGACACCTTATCTTCAAAAACATTCCCAAGAGACGTGAGGTTGAGAGCATTTTTGCAAGGCGTCTCGCCTTGCTCAGCATTCGCTCTCAAGCCTCTCCTCCTGCTCCTTGCCCTCCTTCTCCCGTGTCTCCTGCAAGCGCCGGTCGCGAGGATAGGTGTAGTGCGCCACGCAGTAGAAGAGGAAGCAAATGCTGAAGCCGATCGCCGACACGGTGAAGACGCCCTTGCCCAACTTGCGAGCGTCTTCCGGAGAGCAGCTGTGGTTGTTGGCGGTCTCAGCGCTGAATCCGAAGACCTGGTCGGTGAGCCAACCCACCGCAGGCTGACCAAAGGCGCCGATGGTGCCCTCGACGCAACGGTCCAGGGCATAGATGTAGGTGTAGCGGGCGCGCGGCACCACGTCGCTGAACATCTTGTTGTTCATGACCATGTTCCAGGCGATCAAGGTGCCCGTGACCAGGAAGACCTTGTTTTGTGAGCAAGAGCAAAAAGGAACCCGACAATCGGGGCATCAGAGACTCTGTGCGCGCTACGCCTACTACGATCGACTCTCTGTCCATTTGTCGGGTACAAGGCGGACCACACAAAAGCGCGGGGGTCTCCTTGCGTGCCCAAGGGGCCCCGGAGTACAAGGCCAGCAGCCCGTCGGAATCGGCGTCGCCGGGGCCCAGGCCAAACAAGATCAAGGCGAAGAGGGGGATGGAGAGGAAGACCGACAGCTGGGAGATGGCCGGGGGGCCGTGATCCGGGAAGCGCCGGAAGATGAAGTCCAGCAAGACACCCCCCAGCATGCTGGAGAGGGCCGTGCCGATGTTGAAGAATGCGTAGATGGAGGCCGCCTCGGCATTGGAGAAGCAGTTCAGCTCCAGCCACATGGTGAGGTAGCTGAAGGCGAACCACGGGGCAGTTCCGAAAATGCCCTGGCCGATGATCACAAGGAAGGTGGGCAAGCAGATGATGGACCGGAGCTTGGGCACCTCCTCCTTCACGATCTGCCACATGCTCCGCTTCTCCTCCCTTGGCACATCCGTCACCAGCAGCAGCACGAGCACCCCCACCACACCGCTCACGGCGGCGATCACCGTGAGCGCGAACTGCCATCCGGCCATGGCCCCGACCGCCTTTGGGGGGGCTGGGAGAGCGCGGTCACGATACACTTAGGCCCACAAGACCAATACAGCTCCTTCTTAGGGGTTCACTTTATCCCTGTAACTTGTTGGGGCTCGATTTTGCTTTGCGGCCGAGGCTCGTGGGGCGCCATGCTGGTGGCGAAGGCTGTGAATGCCGTCTGGCCCAGCGCCCCCGTGGAGAGCAGAAAGCCGAAGGCTTTGCCGCGGCCGTACACCGAGCTCTTGTCCTCGCTCCGGCTTTTGGGGGTCTACAGGAGGGCTTTTGAGTTGCTTGTGGACTTGTCAAAGGGGCTTGCGGCTTAGGGTTCATATGTCAAGGCACTAGCGGGTCATTTCACACCTAGGCCATCACAACAAAGGAGCGCTTACCTCGTGATCCGAGCGTCTGCCACCAAGCTGAAGAGGAGCGGCTGCACTATGCCCAAGCCTACGCCGTTGACGGCGCGGAAGGCCGTCATGGCTTGCAGGTCCGGGGCGAAAGCACAGCCCAGCAAGCCCAAAGCCCACACAATGCTGCCCAGGCAGATGAGCAGGGGTCGGGGCAGGCGATCTGCCAGGAATCCCGCGGGCAACGCAAAGACCGACTCGAAGACTCCGCGCACCAGGCCCAGATTGCCCAATCCTCCCGGCGTGGTCTGGTAGTGCCGCGCGATCTCGCCGTAGACTGCTGGCAGCGCCATGTTGTCCGTGTTCCACATGACCATGACAAGGAAGAGCACCAGCATCTGAAGGACCCAGTTCCACTGGGACTCTCTTTCTTGCACTGGAGCCTTCTCACTGCAGCGGGCGCTTCCCTTCTCACTGCAGGTGCTGCTTGTGCTCATCGCCTTCATCTCGGTCGACATAATGCTTCGCGGTTTACGGTCCAACGTGTCTCGAGCCCAAAATCTTCGAAGACTGCCTGAACCCCGCTCAGAGAGCTCACTCAAGTCTGGAGGAGCTTTTCCGGTGACCTCCTAATCTTGGAGAATCCTGGAGAGCACTTCTGCGCCTCAACCCTAAACCCTAAACCCTAAACCCTGAACCCTAAACCCTAAACCCATCAGGGCGGCTGGTCACCAAGCTCTCCTGTGACGCCCGGCCTCGGGCTCTCGCAAGGCCTGGCTCCAGCCGACAAAAGTCGACCTGGCGGGAAACCGGGTATTGCAAGGGTGGGGGGGGGGGGGGGGGGGGGTGGTTAGGGTTTAGGTTTTAGGGTTTAGGGGTTTTAGGGTTTAGGGTTTGGGTTTGGGGTTTGGGGGGGTTTGGGGTTTGGGGTTTGGGGTTGGGGTTTGGGGTTTGGGGTTTGGGGTTTGGGGTTTGGGGTTTGGGGTTTGGGGTTGGGGGGTTGGGGTTTGGGGTTTGGGGTTTGGGGTTTGGGGTTTTTGGGGTTTGGGGTTTGGGGTTTGGGGTTTGGGGTTTGGGGTTTGGGGGGGTTTGGGGTTTGGGTTTACGGTTTGGGTTGGGGGTTTGGGTTTAGGGCGTAGGGTTTGGGGTGGGAAGCCCGGAAATTTGGGATTGAGGGGGGGGCGGTTTGGTGGGGCTTTTGGCGGGGGATTGGGGGGGAGGGGGGGGGGGGAGGGGGGAATCTTCAAGGTTACTTGAGGATCCGGGAAGGGCTTCGCATGTAGGAATTGGGGGGTGTTTGGGGTGTAAAAACAGAGGGTTTAGGCTTTCAAGCCCTGAGCAGGACTTCCTTCGTGTGTGGAAGGGAAGTGACAGTGCACCAGGCCCGGGCGTCCTAAAAACCAACTGAACTCCTCGAGGGTTTAGGGTTTAGGGTTTAGGGTTTAGGGTTTAGGGTTTAGGGTTTAGGGTTTAGGGTTTAGGGTTGAGGGTTGAGGGTTGAGGGTTGAGGGTTGAGGGTTGAGGGTTTAGGGTTTAGGGTTTAGGGTTTAGGGTTTAGGGTTTAGGGTGCGCTCTCAAGTCTGCGGGTTTGTTCGAAGTTCTCGGGTGTTTTTTTGCTTCGTTTTTCATGTTTCCTCTCTTTGGGGGGTGGGGCTGTTTCAAAGACAGTGCATTCCGAATCGTCACTGGGCTAAACAAGGACCCCCCCCCCCCTAAACCCTAAACCCTAAACATCCCTAAACCCTAAACGTCCCTAAACTCAAAACCCCAAAACCCTAAACCCTAAACCCAAAAAGGCTGCGGACAGCGCCCCTAAGCTCGAAGCGCGGAAACGCAGAAAGTCGGACTTAGGGTTTGGGATTTCGGGCTTCTCAACCCCAGATCCTCTAACCCTAGCAGCCTTGCAGGACCGAGAGGTGCTAGAACCCCTACATACCCTAAACCCTAAACACCCGTAATCCGAAGCCCTGCAATTATCCCCCCCAAACCCTAAACCCTAAACCCTAAACCCTAAACCCGAAACCCAAGTTCGGCCTCAGGAAGGCCTGGAGGGAGTCTCGGTGCGTCGGCAAGCAGCCCGCCGGGACGAAGAGCACTTGGGAGTAGCCCAGCGTCACACCTCGGGGGGGGGGGGGGGGGGGGGGAGTTTCAGAGATTATATGGTTTATAGGGTTTATAGGGTTTGTAGGGTTTGTAGGATTTATAGGGTTTATAGGGTTTACAGGGTTTATAGGGTTTATAGGATTCATAGGGTTTAGGGCTTGGGGCTTGTGGTGTAGGGGTCAGGGTTTAGGGCTTAGGGTTTAGGGCTTAGGGTTTAGGGTTTAGGGTTTAGGGTTTAGGGCTTAGGGTTTAGGGTTTAAGGTTTAGGGTTTAGGGAGGGGGGGAGGGGGTGTCATGCTCTGGGCCTGCGAATGTGGAGGGAAGCGGGTTTCGTAAATTTAGGATGGCTACTCAGGGCTTAGGTGCTGTTTAGGGTTTAGGGTTTAGGGTTTTCAGGGTTCAGGGTTCAGGGTTTAGGGTTTAGGGTTTAGGGTTTAGGGTTCAAGGGTTCAAGGGGTTTTGTTGAGAGTGTCTTGTGGAACTTTGGAGGGGGGGATCATTTTAGACAGGGGTTTGAGGAGAATTTTTTGGAACTCCGGAAGCCCTTAGCAAGCAGAGCTCCCAACTTTGTGCCCCTGTACGTTGTTGGCATTTCAAAGGGTTTAGGCGGTTTAGGGTTTTGGCGTTTAGGGTTTCGGCTGTGGGGTCTTAAGGTTTAGGGTTTAGGCCTGAAGGTTTAGCGCTTAGCGTTTCGGACCCTTCCACCTGGGAAGGCACTGCCCTGGAGCGGGATGACATCCGGTCGCGACCCCAGCTCCTGCTCCAGCCGCAAGGTCTCCGTGACGTCGTAGGCCTCCGACGGACTGAATGAGCCCTGACATTGGGATCGTCTACCCCCACACTCCTCCACTCACTCTAGGACCCTCTTACCTTCTGTACCCTCAACCCTAAACCCCCAACTGATCTATGCCACACACCTCAAGCCCAAAATTCAGTCCTTTCTAGGGGATCTCGGGGCTTCCTACTCGTCCCCAACAAGCCAACCGTACCTGAACCGCATCAACGCCGCCCTCGCGCAGCTCACTCAGCTTCTGCACGCGGGGAACATCCAAGACACCTCGGCTGCTGTTGAGGAACTCCCTTTCAGCCACTGCTAAGTCTAAGTAGGCTTTGGGGCTCAGGGGTTTCAGATTAGATTACAACATGTGGATTGTACATACATATGTGTTATATGTGTATGCTGCATCTTCCTTTTCAAGTTCGTTTGACTTAAGTTCCGCAACTGCAAGCTAGACACTGGCCCCGGGAAGCATGCGCCTCAGGAGGTCGACGGTGTCCGAGTGGGCTGCGATGCGCAAGCCATGCCCGTGAGGATTCCTCAGTTGGCCCCCTAAACCCTAAACCCTAAACCCTAAACCCTAAACCCTAAACCCTAAACCCAAGAACCCAAGCCACAATAAGGGAAAATCAGAAGACCCTAACGGCTACCTAACCCTAAACCCCAAAGCCTAAAACCCTAAACCCTAAACCCTCAACCCTCAACCCTAAACCCTGAACCCTAAACCCTAAACCCACAACCCTAAACCCTAAACCCTAAACCCTCAACCCTCAACCCTCAACCCCAAACCCTAAACCCTAAACTCTACACCCTACCCAGATTCCCATGGAGTCTGCTCCGCAACCCTGCGGTCGGCAGCGCTGCCAAGCACAAGGGGGAACGGCCGAACATTGCAGCAACCTGGGAGGCATCTACCCCTAAACCCTAAACCCTAAACCCCAAACCCTAAACCCTAAACCCTAAACCCTAAGCCCTAAACCCTAAAGCCTAAACCCTAAACCCTAAACCCTAAACACTAAACCCTAAACCCTAAACCCTACCCCAAACCCTAAACCCTACCACAATCCTGCTACTGCTACAAGACATAACAGCGAATAGAGATCAAAAAACAGCAAATGAAGGAAACCGGCAAGAACTGAAACAAAATGTGCAGATGTATGCAAGTATATACTGATGTATGCTATGTACATATGGACATGTGAATATAACCGTAAGCCCTAGACCCTAAGCCCTAAACTTGAAAAAACCATAAACTCTGAAGCCTAAACCCGAAACCCTGAACCCTAACTACCACCCAGCGGCCGCTTTGATGTTGTAGCCTCCTGCTGCGCCACCTGCCGCCGGAATGAGGGTGTTCTGCTCCATGCTGCCCACGTGCCTCAGGTGGGTCTGGCGGCTCTGCTGTGGGTTTAGGGTTTAGGGCTAGGGTTTAGGGTTTAGGGCTAGGATTTATGGTGTAGGGTTTAGGGTTTAGGGTTTAGGGTTTAGGGTTTAGGGTTTACGATTGAGGGTTTAGGGTTTAGGGTTTAGGGTTTAGGGTTTAGGGTTTAGGGTTTAGGGTTTAGGGTTTAGGGTTTAGGGTTTAGGGTTTAGGGTAGGGCTCTAGAGGGAATAGAACCCTCAACGAAAAAAACGATGCTCCGAATCAACCCCAGATGCAACTTCGAGGCATCCTTTGAGAACCCGTCGCAGACTTTCGCAGCTTCGTCTCCGGGAGTACAGCTGGGAAGCAAGTTCACTTTCCTGGCTTGCTTTGAGATGAACTTGAACGAAGTTGCCAGAATTCATATTGGACAGTAACGTTTCCGAGTTTTTTGTTACTTATGTTACATTTCTTTTGAACAGCCCAGATTCAGCCCAGCTTTCTCATAAATGCCCCGTCGGCAGGCTAGGGCGATGCCGGCAAACTGAGCGGACATGTAATAGTCCAGCTGCACGGCAATCTGGCACAGCGAGCGTGACATTTTGCTGCACACCTTGGCTGTTGCGAGTCGAAACTACAAGGTCAGCTTCAAACAGGCCTCTTTAGGGTTTAGGGTTGAGGGCTGAGGGTTTCGGGCCTTAGGGCCTTAGGGTTTAGGGCTTTGGGTTTAGGAGGGTTTAGGGTTTAGGGTTTCGGGTTTCGGGAGGCTTCTCAAACGCATCGACTCACCTCGCAAAACCAGGCGGAAAGCACAGATGGGTGCCGCCAAGAGGCCCAAGACAAAATGTCACCAAAGTTCTTGGGGAAAATCTGTGGCCGCACGCGGCCGGGTACTACATCGGTCTACCAAATGTGGAGCCCAGGCGCAGCGATGAAAGAGCTTTAGGGTTTAGGGTTTAGGGTTTCGGGTTTAGGGTTTAGGGTTTAAGGTTCAGGGTTTGGGGCTGGCTTATTGGTCTCCGGCTTACCAGGCTTAGGGCTTTCAGGGTTCAGGGTTTCGGGGTTCGGGGTTTAGGGCTTAGGGTTTAGGGTTTAGGGTTTCGGGTTTAGGGTTTAGGGTTTAGGGCTTAGGGTTTAGGGTTTAGTGTTTAGTGTTTAGGGTTTAGGGTTTAGGGTTTAGGGTTAGGGGCTTTACAGGGCGTACAGGGGATTGAGGATCAAAAAAGGCGTGCCCAGGCAGTGCCCTAGACCCGGGTTGCTCCGACTTAAATTACGAGGCCCCGGTTTTTGAGAATGTGGCGTTCAAAATATACAAATATGCAAATATGTACAATTTTCAAATATACAAACCTACAAAATAGGGCTAGCAAGTTTAAGTGCTGTAAGGCTTGCGGGGTCTCTAGGGTCTAGGGCTTCAAGGTTTTCATTTGATTTCAACCATCTGTGGGTGACTGGAACTAGCTTAAGGAACTCATAAATTTTATAACAACAAGCTTATGCTGCGAGTACCTGCTTAGGGATTTCGTTGCGTGACGTTGTGTGTTTGGGGGTTCCTGAAGCAAATCCTAGGTGTTTGTTTTCTCCGGGCTTACACGAAAAGGGCATTCTACGTTTTAACGCGGCGCGCCGGAACGTCGTGCGGAGTTGTGCAAGGTCGCAGCGAGACAAAACACGCGCGAACAGGATGATGCCACAGCTCAGCATGGCTGCGCAACATATCTTGGAGCTCCAACAAACAAATGAGGAGGTCATCGAACCTGTACTGTCACCTCAGGGCCTAATGTTCGTAACGTATTAATAATACCCCCGGATTAGACCGGTCCACCTCCCGAAAATGCCCGCCCGTCCGATTAGTCAACCCCCCCGATTAGACCGGTCCTGGCCTCATGTGATTTTTTTTTTTGGATGAGATGTGTGCGAGCCCTCAAGCCCCAAACCCCTAAACCCCAAACCCTCAACTAGTGAACTCCCCCCACCGATTGGGTCGGAATTGCCCTCAAGTAGATTCCAAGAGATTTCTTTTGAGGATGACATGCTTGTGACTCTACTGCCCTAAGTCCCAAACCCTCAACTAGTGAACTCCCCCCCCGATCGGACCGGACCTGCCCTCATGTACACTTTTTTGAGGATGATACGCTTGGGACCGCGAAAGCCCTCGAGCCCTAAACCCCAAACCCTCAACTATAGGGAACTCCCCTCCCGATTAGACCGGACGTGCCCTCATGAGGATGTTGTAAGGGTGACACGATGATCCTTATGTTTGCTGCGAGCTCATCTCCAAGTGCTCTCACCAATCAGCTAGCATGGCTCCCACTCATGCTGCAAAAGACGACGACGACTACTACGGCCACTACTTCCGATTCTAACTACCAAAACAAGCAGCAATAAGAAAATCCCAAGCCTGAATTATCTTTAAAAACCGTTTTCTCATGGCTTCTAAGAGTATCCCTGTTCGGCCCCTGGCCCACCCGATTAATTCGCAGCCCTCGATTAACGCGGGCCTCGGCCCGGGAACCTTTAAACAAGCCAGCTCCAAGCTTCGAGCCTCCAAAGCAAGCAGCAGCAGCCACAAAATTCCAAAATCCCAAGCCTTCCGGAACAGATGGTTTTGAATTGAAAATCTATCTAGAAAAACCATTTTCCCAAGGTTTCTAAGGTATCCCTTTTCGGCCCCTGACCCACCCGATTTATTCGGGGCCCTCGATTAATGCGGGCCTCGGCCTGGGAACCTTGAAAAAAGGCAGCTCCAAGCTTCGGGTCTCCAAAGCAAGCAAGCAGCAGTCACAAAATTCCAAGCCTTCAGGAACAGATGGTTTTGAATTGAAAATTTATCTAGAACAACCATTTTCCCAAGGTTTCTAAGGGTATCCCTTTTCGGCCCCTATCCTACCCGATTAATTCGTGGCCCTCGATTAATGCGGGCCTCGGCCTGAGAACCTTTAAAAAAGCTAGCTCCAAGCTTCGGGTCTCCAAAGCAAGCAGCAGCCCCAAAATTACAAAATTCCAGGCCTTCAGGAACAGATAATTTTGAATTGAAAATCCATCTACAAAACCATTTTCTTAATGTTTCTAAGGATATCCCTTTTCGGCCTCGACTAATGCGGGCCTCGGCCCGGGAACCTTTAAACAAGCCAGCTCCAAGCTTCGAGCCTCCAAAGCAAGCAGCAGCCCCAAAATTACAAAATTCCAAGCCTTCAGGAACAGATAATTTTGAACTGAAAATCCATCTAAAAAACCATTTTCTCAAGGTTTCTAAGGGTATCCCTTTTCGGCCCCTAGCCCACCCGATTAATTCGTGGCCCTCGATTAATGCGGGCCTCGGCCTGAGAACCTTTAAAAAAGCTAGCTCCAAGCTTCGGGTCTCCAAAGCAAAAGGCCCCTGCACCAGGAGTTGATCCAAATGCGCCAATTCCCAATGAACTCACACAGCGCTTATAATTGCGGCTTGGAGGGTCCCGAAACTCCCAAAACCGCTTCAGCAAGGCTTGTTAAAGCCTTCTGCAAAGCCTTCAAAATATCCTTGCGCAGGCTTTGAGCCGCTTGGACAAGCCTTGTAAATGGCTTTGCGAAGGCTTTTGCAAGGTCCCAAAAGGTCCCCTACTCCAGGATTTGATCCAAATGTGCCCATTCCCAATGAACTCATACAAACCTTACCAATTGCGGCTTGGAAGGTCCAGACGCTTGTTAAAGCCTTCTGCAAGCCTTCACATTATCCTTGCAAAGGCTCTGAGCCACTTGGACAAGCCTTGTCAATGGCTTTCTGAAGGCTTTTGGAAAGTCCCAAAAGGTCCCTGCATTAGGAGTTGATCCAAATGTGCCAATTCCCAATGAACTCATACAGCGATTTCCAATTGCGGCTTGGAGGGTCCCGAAACTCCCAAAACGGCTTTAGCGAGGCTTGTTAAAGCCTTCTGCAAGACTTCAAAATATCCTTGCAAAGGGTTTGAGCCACTTGGACAAGCCTTGCTGAAGGCTTTTGGAAAGTCCCAAAAGGTCCCTGCATTAGGATTTGATCCAAATGTGCCAATTCCCAATTAATTCATACAGCGCTTTCCAATTGCGGCTTGGAGGGTCCCGAAACTCCCAAAACGGCTTCAGCGAGGCTTGTTAAAGCCTTCTGCAAGCCTTCAAAATATCCTTGCAAAGGCTTTGAGCCACTTGGACAAGCCTTGTGAATGGCTTTACGAAGGCTTTTGGAAGGTCCCAAAAGGTCCCTGCACCAGGATTTGAGCCAAATGCGCCAAAACCCAATGAACTCACACAGCGCTTTCCAATTGCGGTTTGGAGGGTCCCGAAACTCCCAAAACGGCCTCAGCAAGGCTTGTTAATTACCTTCTGCAAGCCTTCAAAATATCCTTGCAAAGGCTTTGAGCCACTTGGACAAGCCTTGTAGATGGCTTTCTGAAGGCTTTTGGAAGGTCCCAAAAGGTCCCTGCATCAGGATTTGATCCAAATGTGCCAATTCCCGATTAACTCATACAGCGCTTTCCAATTGCGGCTTGGAGGGTCCCGAAACTCCCAAAACGGCTTCAGCAAGGCTTGTTAATTACCTTCTGCAAGCCTTCAAAATATCCTTGCAAAGGCTTTGAGCCACTTGGACTTCTTTACTTCCTGTTGATCAAAACGTGCCGAGTCTGTTTGGGGTCCCGAGGGCTTTCAGAACGGCTTGAAGAAGGCCCACTGACGGGGTTTGGGGAGTCCCCATGACGCAAGTCCGAAAAGGACAAATTGGGAAAACGCGATCGGGACCCGAGCCGGGCCCAAAAAGCTCAATCTCAAGCTTCAATCTCGATTATTTGCTTCTTCGACGCTGAAGAGGCACAGACCAAATGGCCTAGTGGCAAAGCGATTGAGCTTGTGACCCGAGGCCCCGGGCTCGAACCCCGCAGCACCTTGCTAGCTTCACCACGCCGAAGGCACCCATGCCTGCAGCACCGCAGTGTCCACGACAAGAAAAAGCGCTCATGTGTGTGGGTGTGGGCGTCACAAGAAAATGAGATAAATACATACATATATATATAAGCGAACAGGGCGAAACAAGAAATCTGATAAGAATGATAACTCAAGCGGTGCGGCGGTGCGCCGAGGACAACGAAAGCTAGCCTTACGAGATGATTAGCAAGCCACAGATTGGAAATCCTAAAATAAATTTTTTCATTTTTTGCATTTTGATTGCGATTTCTTTGCGTCCGGAGTTTGCATATTTTTGCGCTTTTTTTTTGCGTTTGGGGCTGCGGGCACGCCCCAGGATGCAATTATGCTGCAAAACACAGTGTGTTTTGTGTTTTTTTGGCGAAATTTGCATGCACTTTTTTGGTCCCGGACGCCCGGCCACCCAAACGCCAAAAAAAACATGTAAATGCGCCAAAAGCAATCCACCAGCTCTATCTGATAGACTGCATCTGCACTGGACTTACACTGTCCAACTGTGCCATGAGCCACTACGTCCTCTTTGTGAATTTCTTGCCTTTCATCAAATGGACAAAGAGCCTTCCCAGACGATCCATTTTGGTGGGACGCACGAAGAGATAGAAGACGGTTCCTCCCACCAAGACCTTGACGAAGCTTATTTTCCTCGCTTCCAAAAGAAGCGCGGATGACGGTCACCGCATCATCGTCCCCACATTTTGAAGAAGCCATGCGCCTGTGATGGGTGCTGTGACATGGGGAAGTTGGCTGGGTACTCGGACTTCTCCAGCAGTCTCCCAAACACGGTGATGTGGAGGTAGGCTTTGAAGATCACATCGACAAGACCCTTCATCTTTGCAAGGTGATGAGGCTCACCACTCCGGAGACCGCTTGGATGATCAGCCTTTTTCGCACCCGCACCTTGTTTACCTTGAGCCAAAATGGCTACGGTAACAGTCAAATATTCATGAAAATATGTACAAATATATTACTATAATGAAAATACTATTCAATGTTATATTATTTTGTTACATGTAAAGGAATGTCAAATAACAAAATTAGATGAATCGATTTATAGTATGTATCAACAAAATATCCAAGATAAGAGCTTACATAAATCTCTTTCTTGTATAGAACAACTATATTTATATATATATATATATATTACATGCGATACATGTATACCAAGCTTTAAAATTTCTTTTTTATAATTCTATCTTATGTAATAATGATTGGTGTACGGTGTGACAATAGTTAGATTTCAACATTGCTAATAAGCATTCACATTATAAGAAATTCGAACTATCATGTTTTACCATGTTTGCGCCGGCCTCAGGTCGGCAGAAACATCCTGATCTTTTTACAATCTTGGAACTTCTTTGACGCTTACATGATATTCACAAACTAGGAAGCCCACCCATTCGACCACATCAGCGCTTAACGCAGATGTCATACAAACATGAACGGTGGTGATGCTACTATTGCATCAGTTCATCTACTATTGAGAGCAGGAAACCACTAGAATGTTGTTGTAAAATGAAAATGTTACGAAATGAAAAAAGAATATCTGTTTTCCATTTTTAACACAATTTGAAAATGTATAAAACATTAATTCATTAAGACTTTTATTAAATCCTTGTAATTACAAACAATTTTAGTTTCTAACGGGTTCTCATTTTCTTCCTGCATTGGAATTTACATCCTGCAATTAGGCACTAAATGAAAAGTGTAATTATTATAAGCGTTCGGGCCTACAGGGGCGCACCAGCGCTCAGAGAGGTCTAATAGGGTTTGCCGAGGGTATCCGTGGTCTCGAGGCGTGATTCTGGGCGAGTTTCCTTCGAATTCGACTGGGCACCACGGGTTGAGGGTTTAGAGTTTAGGGTTTAGGGTTTAGGGTTTAGGGTTTAGGGTTTAGGGTGTGTGTCCAAGCTTTGCAGGATTCGGAGTTTAGGGTCGAAAGTTTCCTCCTGGCTTCGTGATATCGGCCTCGGGTGTAAAAGACGTGGGTCGTACCAAGTACTTAATGCTGTAGGGTTCAGGGTGTTTAGTGCGGTTAGAGTGTTTAGTGTGCTCTCAGGGTGTTTAGGGCGTTTAGGGCGTTTAGGGCGTTTGGGGCGTTTAGGGTGCTTAGGGTGTTTAGGGCGTTTAAGGCGTTTAGGGTGTTTGGGGTGCTTAGGGCGTTTAAGTTTAGGGTGTTTTGGGTGTTTAAGAATTAGGGTTAGGGCTTAGGCTTCTGAGAGGTAGGTCGATGGAAGTTCAGAGGTAGTTGGAGGTCAGGGTTCCAGGTGGGCTAAGGAGTTGGGGATGCTAAGCCTCACGTAGCTGATAAGGAGCTCCCGGCTAGGGTTTAGGGTTTAGGGTTTAGGGTTTAGGGTTTAGGGTTTAGGGTTTAGGGTTTAGGGTTTAGGGTTTAGGGTTTAGGGTTTAGGGTTTAGGGTTTAGGGTTTAGGGTTTAGGGTTTAGGGTTTAGGGTGTAGGGTTTAGGGTTTAGGGTTTAGGGTTTAGGGTTTAGGGTTGAGGGTTTAGGGTTTTTCGCGCCCAAGCCTCGCAGAAGCCACAGCATGTTGGCTGAACGGCTACGCAAAATCTCGAGCACGTG